CGAGCCTGGCCCGTATCGTGTCAAATTAACTCGATAACGCTGGTATCTCGAACGACGCTTCATCCTCGCGTTGACTTTATTCGCTCGCAATCGCCCATGTCTACGGGAAAGATCATCATTTTCTCTTATCCACGACGTGGCTCGCGCGCGATTTGTTTATTAACTCTCCCCGCCCCGTCTCGCCCTGTTTGCCGTCCGCCTCTCCCACGTGGAAGATTTAGGTTAATGAAATCAGAGCCCCGGCTTATCTCGAATAACGAAGTAGCCGGCGCAGGAGAGATATTGACGTCGCCGACGACGTCCTGCTCGGTCGCCCCGGTCGCCTTATCCCGCGACTGTGCGAAGTAAAATCGCTAGGCGACCGAGCGCGCGTAATATTCCCCGTCCGCTCTATTTATAGTCCCTTCCGTTCCCTGCATAATTCATACGCGTTCGCGTCAATTCGCGCGTGCCGGCCCTTCGTAGCCTAAATTGAGGTTTAATTCGTGCCCTTTTCTTTTTTCCTCATGCGGTGAAACGTGCTTTGCTCGCGTTTTCTTTTCTTTTTTTCTTTCAAGGTGGCAAAACGAGATACGATTTGGAAAATTTTGTGCCCTTGCCATTCTTGAGATAAGGTAACGACGTCACCGACGTCGATATCAGCGTAATGACCGCGGCGCGCAAAGTCGTAAATTATCACATACCGCACGGAGCACCATGCTGCGCTCGTAATACGTACCTACATACGCCGTGCAGCGTTACTTTTCCGACACGCGCGCGTAGAAAATACCGCAGCGACCGACGACGCGACGGTTCGGGGGCACTTTCACTCGCCCGGACGTCGGCTCCGGTCCGGAGTCACGCGAGATTCGCGCATTTGATTTCGCCGTACGATTATGTAGACCCCGTAGGCGCCTCGGTGTCTTCCACGACGATCGATTGACGTGTATATCCGCGGAAAACGCGCGTTCCAGGTGAGAGACGGCGCGGGTCAAAGGGCGACGGTCTCTCCTACTTAGACATCACAGTTTTTTTTTTTTCGCTCAATGGCACTTCTCTTTAACGATGTTAGTTATATACGCTATACGTGTTTGGGACCGCGTTTGGAAATAATTAACTGTTAATTAGTCGGCTGTCAAAACCGCCAAAATGGCCTTTGTATTCGCCAACTCGAATTTCTTCCTCCTCTTTGTACGATCGTCGATCGGAGACACCCTGTATACCGTGCGTGTCTCCGCGTCGGCTTTGTGCGGCTTTGTGTGTGACCCTGGGGTGCGTTGCATGTCGCCGCGGCCGTCCGGTCCGGTCCGCCCGTTCAATTGCCTCTTGCCAAGAATGGAGAAAATTATTCCCCTCAATTCGACGCAATTTAGAGGAATTAAGCGATCGCGGAGCCGCGAGAGCACTTCTTCGGCTCCGTAACTCCTGAACCCTTCTCCTTGTCCTTGGTACCCGCGTCCTCCCCTTTTTCGAGCGTCCGTCCCTCTGTAAGAGCGAATCGTCGAATCATGGTTACTCTGGTTCCCACGGCGAGATCCTCAGGTAAAAATCACCGGCTACCGGAGGGAACAGTAGGCCCGCATTACTCGGCAAACATATTTTTCGTCCAGTTCCACGTTGTAAAACTAGCCTGGTTTACCGTATCGGCTTCGATGTTTCAAGTAATATTTGACCAGCTTCCCTACACATCGACCGAGAATAGCTCTGAACCTCAATGTCGCGAAATTAAATTAGCAAATTCCAATCGATTAACAGCCGCTCATATTGCTTTATTACGTATAATCGATCGTTTTCCTTAATTATCGCTCGTCGCTACATTATTCGCTAATTACCCGCGCGGTGGATATTATTAGCACGCTGGATACGCCGAAAGGGTTAATGACGGTACGCAGAAATGCCGCTCTGGCGGCCGGAACGGACCGTTTTTCTCCCGGCGCGCGATCGCGCGTTCGTGTGCAGCTCCGGAGTCCGGAGTCCGGCGCGCCGGAAGGAGCGGAAGCGACCCTAAGTACGGCAAATTGTGAAAGTAATGGACGGCAATATGGTGTCTTACAAGGTGAATGAAAGCGTCTCGCGTTGGCGCGGGCGATCGGCGCTAAATCACCGCGCGTTATCTACAGTTAACTGCGACGACAGCGCGACGCGTCGCGACCAGAATTTCATTACGCCGCATCAGGCTCCGCTGTCGTCCGCTGCCTGTTGTTTTATCTTTGTGGGACGGAATTTGTTTTCGCCCGCAGTTGCGTCCGCGCTTTATTGCGTTTAACTGTCGCATTTGCGCTCAACGAGTTTGTATTAGCGACTGATAGAACGATGGATGGTCGCGCGCGGCGGAATGGTTAAAAGCTCGCCTCGTCGAGCGTTCGACGAGCTTATTATGTACGTGTACGCCGCGAAATATCGATGTTAGAATTTCCATGGAAATTCTACGCAAAAGCTCTACATGGAACGTCGATACACGTGACGGGCTGTCACACACTTTATTTACATATATATATGTATATAAATTTTTATACAATTTTCCGATTCTCTCGCGCCATCATTCCTTTCCCTCAAATTTCCAAGGTCCTCGATCTAGGCATTCTAGGCGATAATACGTGCAATTGTGAATGCACGATTTGCATGCTACAATTGCACACAGACATTGGATTGCGCGGACTGAAACCATATGTTGCAACGCGAAGAGCCCAGAAAGGAGTTCCGCGTAATTTTATATATCGCTTGGCGTTTTACTGCAGAGAAGGCTCGCTACATTAATCGCGACCGCGACGACCCTCGTACTGTCGCGCGCGGCACAGCGCGACCCCGGATACTTTTTACGGTCATTTAAAATTGCTAATTTTAGAAACGATGGATTTTTCCGCCACGCCCTGCGCGCACGCGGTGCGGGGGAATAAGTCGCGCCGCGCGTCGGCGGACGGGATTCAATAGAATCGACTTAATCCAATGCGACGTGTTTCGAATTGGCGTTTCGCGGACGCCCGTACCTGTCAATAAGCCGCGGAATAGAATCATTGTGCGCTGTACTTCGGACTTGTTTCGCTTCAATTCGTCCTTCGACGAAGGGGAGCGCGGAACCGCGTCCACGGTTATCCGGCGCAGCCCCGGTAAACGATACCGTAAGTCTCGCGCGTGTTTCCCACATATAAATCCCCCTCTGTCTCTCGCCCGTCACGTTATTGGACACGCGGGTAAAATGCGCGCTTCTCGATCCGCGCGATTTATTGCGTACACCGATACGTTAAGGCGTAATCCCCGTAAACTCGTTACTTGCGTCCGCGACGTGCGATTACACGTCGAGTTACACGTTTCGTTTCGACGTTTCTTGTCGCTTTCCGAATCCGTCATATCGATGGTGAAACGATTAAATATCGTGCACCGGTCAGCGAGAGCCCCCCCCCGTGAAAGGGGGGTTCGAAAAGGGCACAATGTGCGACTCCGCAGTCGTCGTCACGTGAATCGTGACGGAATTCTGTTCCCCGCGGTGTATCGTTCCACGACCGCAAACTTCTTTCGTTGTGTTATCGGTGAAACGCGTGGCTATCGTGCAGCGCAGGCACCAGCTGCAACGCGTCTATAGTACGGTAAACCCGCGGGAGGCTGAAACTATACCTCTTGGCCGCGAATGATTCATTCTCTCTTCGTCCGTCAACAGAAATACTTATCGTCAACTCTTTCTGCTTCCTTTTTCTCATTTTTTATTTAGATGCAACGTGACAAATAGGCAGTACGCGCGCACTCGCGCACACGCGTGAAAAGAGGAAAGAACGTTTAGCGAGATAGAAAAAGTGATAATGCGTAAGCGATAAGCGGCCGCGCATGAGCATTTCTGATAGGTTCGCCAACCTTGGACGAGATTTCATCGAGTACGCGGTGATTCATCACGTGGTGCTCGGTGCTTCAGGAAATTACGTGGTGTATCGCGTGTAAATTGATAACAATTTACGACATATCTCGCGCGAGGCGCCGTGCAACCGTCGGTGCAACCCGTCGAAAACAAAAGTATTCGCAACTCTCAAGCTGATCGTTCCGACAGCAGCGACTTTGCTCGAAATAAATAAAACGACTAAATGGAATAAATATATACGTAATATTTCTAACACTTCTTCTTTGCTGTATATTACTAATTTATCAGATTTTTGTTATTACGTTTTATTTTATTATACTTCAGTTGTTTTACCGGCTGTATTGATAATTTTACCAAGCAATTTAAATTTTCTGGCTTTGCACCGCAATCGTGTGCAAAACCGCGGGATGGATACGTCGACACGCGAATTGCCGTTTATCCGACAATTTTCGGCGAAATTCGTTGGCGATTTCCGTCGAAATGCCGTCGAACTTTTCGCCGGGGAGCGCCGATGGTAAATATTTCCCGATGCCGATGAGTAACGACCGCGACGGCCGTCGCGGGCGAGTTGCGTGCGACGCCAGGCATCGGTCTAGGCGTCGTGGCGCCTTCGTACCCCCCCCTCCCCATGTCAGTCCGAGCCGTTAGGCATCGGCGAAGGTAAACTACACGTGCGTTTTACGCGCGGAGCTCCTCGTTGCCATGTATCCATTTCAGCCCTTTTCCAAGCGCGAGCATACTGTATGATTCTACAGTAGAGTATTCTACGTGGTAAACGTGTAGGATTTTACGGTCAGATCCTCCCGGGACTTATCCGCGTTCCGCTGAAAACGAGCACGCCCGTTCGTCCCGCGGGACTGGAATCGTAACGAAATCCTTGGCCTACGACAGCGACGTCGGGATAGTAATTTTCGAAGAACCAGCATCGTCCGTCGCGTCACGTTAGTGACGTTAACGATGGCTATTATACCCTAATGGTAGCAAATGATACTATACGGATGTTGAGGTCCAGAACAAATTGCAACTGGTTTTGGTTACAGCAATTTTCGATGATTTATCCCTACTTTGTGGCTTGAAATGAGATTTTTTTGATTGGACGGGGACCCCGATAGATTATACCTGAATTGCGCGCGTTAGTAGCAATATCTAACAAAATTTCTTTCGTTTCTTTCAGCGGATTAAACTTCCAGGATTTGATGGCCAGGCAGGGCGCGATCGACTCGCCCCCGAAGACCCCGTTCATCATGGGCTCGGAGTGCGCGGGTGACATCGAGCAAGTCGGCGAGGGGGTCGAGAATTTCAAAGTAAGCACGAAACTTTTAATGAATCTGATTACGAGTGCGCCAACTTAAATTGTAAACAAGTTTGCTTCTTCGAGTTCTATGTGTATTCGGAATTTCGTTACGAGGTATAAAAATAAAAACGCGATAGGTCGACTGGTGATCGCTCACTCTCTCTGTTCTCTTCGTATTCAAGGAATAAGATTAATGGCCGTGTCGTAAATAGCGTCGAATGTTATCGGTAAATGACGTATATCGAAATGCGCGCGCGAGCGGAAATATAGATTTGCTCGCGTCGAAAACTTTTTTGCCTGCAGCCAGAAGTACAATACGTGTAACTGATTGTGAGTTGCAAGGCGCAGTCTCTTCCCAGTATATCGGCGAGGTAAAATCGCCTCCGTGGATTCGACGGAGCCCAGAGATTCGATCCGTGAACGCCTACTTGGTAATGCGCTAATTCGATTCGCTCGTACGACGGGGGGACCTTGCCTTTTTGCGCATCGAAATAATAGTCCTGTATCGATTTTCAGCATTGACGTCACGTTCGGTTCAACGTCGAATTATTTTGAAAGCTCTTGAAACGCGTTCCCTCGGCCGGACTCCCGGACTCTACGACGAGTGCCGTAAATAAAACGAGAGGCTACTTTTCCCTCGCGGTCGTTTCGCTTATTAAACGTCTTTACGTCAGGGAAAAAAAAATGAACGCCGAAGTATTTCATATCTCCGGCGCGGCGTGATAAAGCGCCAGGAGGCAGTATTAATGGTCGCTTCGTAAATAACGTCAAGGCGGCACACTCCCGTTATCGTATTTAACGTTATTTGCGATACGGGGAGAATCGAGCTGGCCTCTCAAGCCTGCGGAATTTCTTCGCGGCGTGTTTTTCGCCGGCTGACGCCGTCCGCGTCGTATGGAGAAACTTGTACGCTCAGGGTGGTCTATTTTCGCGACTCGCGAAAGTCTTTTTCGGGGTCGGAAGGAGGCGAGCGAGCTTCTCCGAGACGCTTAGGGTCAGATATTCGGCCTGTCTCATCTTGTCAAAGAGAGAGATGGAGGGGAGAGTACGCTCCTTTCGAGCATACGGGTCGGAAGTAATGTCAGCTTGCTCCTGCCTCGCCCTGCCTATCAAGATGCTTTACAGAGGGAGGCCTAATTCGATAAAACGAGCTCGCCCCGTCTTCGCGAAGGGCGCAAAGTGGAAAATAGTTGAACCTTCTCCTTATCCGGTGACGATTCGGTAAATACGCGTGGGGCACAATCCTGAAAATATCAGTGTATTAGAGAAAATAAGGGTACTTTGTCGAATTGGTCTTTAAGCTGTTCCTCATTCTCGCATCGGTCTCGATTTTCGGGATGTATCTCGGGCATTCGCGTCTCGAATCGAAATGCTGCGATATAAATGCTCTGGCGTTTTGACACGCATGTGATGTGGTTTTTCCTCTTTTTTTTTGTTAACAGGTGGGCGATAGAGTGGTCGCCCTTCCCGATCACAAAGCGTGGGCGGAGCTGGTCACCGTCCCGGCGACGTCCGTTTTCGCGCTACCGTCCGGGATGAGCTACCTCGACGCGGCCGCCATCACCATGAATTACACCGTGGCTTACATCCTGCTCTTCGAGCTGGCCCATCTCACGCCCGGCAAGAGCCTGCTGCTTCACAGCGCCGGCGGCGGTGTGGTAAGTCGACGGGAGAGAATCCTCCTTTTATATTTGTATTTCATCCTCGGGGGAGCGCCGGAGTATCCCTCCTTCTCCTCTCGTTCCTCTCGGGGGAGACACGGGGAGGAAGAGATGATGAATTGGACTTTTTAATTACACCTCCTTGCTCACGCTCGCGTATCCTTTATCGCGACTTGAAGAACTCGATACGCTCATGGATGTATCATAATTGTTATGTTCGATTGTACGCGATGCGGTATCTCTCTTTCTTCCTTCTTTTTTATTAATTGCTTTTCTTCCCCTTTTATTGTAAGTGCATATCAATATTAAAGATAGTGTCTTTACATTCGATCGTGCGCATTCGATTTTTTAATATCCCCTCTACAGCTGTAATTATTATAAATGATTCCGCATCGTTTCAACATATACCGAGGGATTTATAAATTATTACGCGCGTTTAAATGCATGATGGCTCGAGCGTTTTAACAATATACGATATGTAAAAGCTATTCCCTTTACCTGTACTGAACGCACGATGTTATTATCTTCGCGTATATGAATTAATATATTCTATTGTGCGCGTGATTGTATTAAGTTTCATGGCACAACGCTCGGCACGATAATGATTTTGAATTTTGCAGCGGTTCATCGTTAAAGCGACAGAATGTAGACGGGCGGAAGCGCCTTTAGCGTGCAAAAATTCTAAAATGCTGAGCCGACAATAACGCGGTTCTGCCGAAGGGGCGCTTTTGCGAGTTTAGACAGCTTTATCGCGGTATCACGTGTATGAGCGAGTTAACGTCTCGCGCAAAGATGTTCCGCTCGTAAACGCGAACGGCCGGCGTCTTCGAGGCGTGTATACGTTACTCGGAACAGTACAAATCCGATAAGTAGCGGCGTTACGACCGCTGCATCTAAATAGCTGAGAAGCGAGCGTCATTAACATTATTGCTTATACATTGCCTAGAACCGTTTTACGGGAGGAGCAGGCGTATGTCTGTGTGCGAGAGAGAGAGAGAGAGACGCGGCGCTCGTACGTTTTTCCTTAAATTCATTACGCTTCGTTTTAGAACGAAGATAACGGAGACTCGACGATTACGAACGTCAATTGACCGTAAGGGATTGTCGGGGAGTGGTATCTAAAGATTTTATACGATAAATATTTGTGTGCTTCTTCCTCTGCCGAGGATACCGAAATAAAATTCTCCTCCCCCGCGGGTTACTGAAATAAAATTTGCCGAGCTTCGTTTACTCACCCGTGGAGATCAGTTTAAATCCTACGCCCACGACTTGTTAAACACCTCGCGGGGTGCGAATGAAATACAAAATTTCATGAAAGCGACGGTATAGTTGGATGGCAGTCGTTGGAACAGGCCGACGACGACGGCGACGGAGGGGATCGAGAAGGTTAAAGTACCAAGGGGTATTTCCGGGTTCTTTGGCCACGCGGGGTGGTTTCTCTCTCTTCTCTCTCTTCTCTCTCTCTCTCTCTCTCTCTCTCTCTCTCTCTCTTTCTCTGTCTTTTTCTCTTCTCGTCTCAACGACGAAAGGAGAAGGAGAAGCGGAAGAAGGAGATAAGAGAAGATGGTAGAACCGTCGGGATCAATACGACTCAACAGGTTACACCCGAAGCCAACGGTAAGCCACCCCCGCTAACCGCCTTCCGTCCCTTACGACCCCCGACGCGACGGTTGAGACGAAAGGCGAAATCTACCGGGGAATGCCGGTGTGCGGATCGCACCGGGGTGTGAGGGTTGCCAGGCAACCTTTCGCTCTCTCATCGACCACCGTCATGGACCGCACCCGTCTGAGACCATACCACCACCGCCGCTACCATCACTATCACCGGCACGTTACTACCACGTGGCGCGGCCTTAAGCTGGTTTCACACCGGCGTCCGTCGCGGCGTGCCACGTGTACGCCCGACGACCTGATCGGTACAACGTTCTCTTTCCCCTTTCCCCCCTCTCCATCTCCCGCGGCTAACGATATTTTATAGAAGGGCTTAATTACAGTCGACTTCCGCAGCGACTTCCGATACTTCCTGCTTCGCGAATAAAAACGTTCTTGAAATTAAATGAACGAGAAACGGACTTAGAGAGGTATATATATTTCTTACGTCATTGTAAAGAACACAACTTGTGTTCCTTAGATCGCGCTCGGATTTGCACACCAAATTAAATAATTGTCATTGGGTATTTAACAACTTCCTCGCAGCATTTATTTCTTTTTATGACACGTAGACAATGTGTGTGTAGTCGAGAAATATTGTATGATTGATGAGCTTTTCCTCGCCTCTTCAGTTTCAGTTTGAAGAAGGAATCAATTAAGCGATGATTAAGCGCTGTTTCTGAAATCGATCCGACCGTTCGTTTATTTTATGCTATAAATAGCCATTGAGTGGCAATCCTCTGCCATTCTCTCATGAAGCGGGCGCATGGCAAACTTGGGTTCTCGCTGCCTTGTGTATAACACATTCCCGCACCTCGCGGGGCGTGTTGGACGCGTCTGTCTCGACCGAGGGACACATGAAAGCCCTTCCGAATACCGGGATAGCACTCAGACGTTGTTCATAGAGGAAAGACGACCGAGCGGAAGAGATATGACGCGATCCGTCTGAGAGACTCGTCGAGAGAGGGAAAGTCCTCCGACGTGATCAGAAAGCGGTGTATTTTTCATGAACCGAGTGTGGTCTCTCTCCCGGAGCTTTACCGCCGTATAGTACGTGACCAGCTTTTCTCGCGGCTAATACGCGAGAAATCGCGGCACGGGAGTGCCTGCTTTTCACGCGGCCGCGTTTTTCTCGCGGCTCCTCATTGTCGTCGTTGAGCATGAATTATCGCGTCTCTACGTACACGCGGCTCTCGTTCTCCTCGATGCGCCTCGACGGACGGGGGTGCGAGAAGAGGAAGGCGTGAACAAGGAGCGATGGGCGACATTGTTCTTCGAGTCCGCGGATCGGTTAATATTAATTAAGTCATTGTCTCTACGCGCGAGAAGAAGGCTTCCGCTCGTCTCGGCTCGTGAAGTGACGCTGATGAAGATGTAACGTCGCTATAAAGCATCTCACGGAGATCTCGCGCATTTATTTAACGTCCCGTATGCATTTTATACAATGTAACAATTTTTAGATTAGTAAACACGATAATGACGAAACGACGGAGATCTTTGAGAGGACGAGATATAATTATTGAAGAGCTGAAATATACTTTTCATGATTATTTAAGGATTCTAAATGGTCTGTTCCGTCTTTGTCTCTTTCGCTCTCGCTCTCCCTTCCTGCTCGTCTCCTTTTTTTCTCTCATTTATGCTCTTCTTCGAGCCCGGAGCGCGCTCCGGCTCGGCATCGGCTCGGTCGCCGGGTATCGAATTCTCGACAAGGGGCGGAGAGAAATGGAAAGCAGCGAGCGCGATTCTCGGAAATAATGTATGCCGCTTCTGTTGAAAATCTCGAGCGGTTGTGCACGCGGCCGTTCTTTTTTCTCCTCTCTCTTAATCCCGTCTCATCCTTTCTCAAGGCGTAGCGTTACGAGTAGCTGCCCGACCGACGCCGCCCGTCCAATTCGGCGGGTAACTGGATTTTCTCGGCAAAAAAGTAGCGTGCGTTGCGAAAAGGGAGGAAGACCAGGGGGAAGGAGGTGGCGATGAAGTATATGTTCTCGCGTATTTTCTAGCGAAGCTTCGGAAGAAGCTTCGGAAAAAATATGAGAATGTCCGTACTGTTTCTCCACGTAGGCGTAGCTTCGACTGACTCTCGATCTTCGCTAAATTGATCTCGACCGTATCGATAAAGAGAAATATTATTTTCCATCCGATTTAGGGTCAAGCGGTGGTGCAGCTCGCGAAAACCGTGAAGGACGTCACCATCTTCGGAGTGTGCAGCAAATCCAAGCATGAGGCACTCAAAAACGCAGGGACTATCGACCATCTTCTGGAACGCGGCGCGGACTACAGCAACGAAGTCAGAAAGTATGTGAACCATGTGGCGCGAATAATTAATTTTTTTTTTGTTCTCTTCCCGTCGAGGGTACAGTCAATATCGAATAAGGAAATTCCGTACATTTTTCATACGTGTCTCCACTTGTTTAGAATCTCCCCGGAAGGCGTAGACATCGTCTTAGATTGCTTATGCGGCGAAGAATGTAACAAGGGCTACGCCCTCTTGAAGCCAATGGGCAAGTACATTCTTTATGGATCCAGCAACGTCGTCACCGGGGAAACTAAGAGCTTCTTTTCCGCAGCGCGATCAGTACGTAACTCAGCATTGTGGATTAACTCGATCTTTAATTCATATCTCACTGGGATTTATTCGAACAAAAGTATTTTATATCTCAGTAAAGTATTATGTATCTTTTAATGCTTCGCTGTAAGATTTTGTAAACTTTTATTCTTTCTCTCGAATTATTTTATTCTCTAAAGATTTTCTTTTGGGTATTGTTCTTTGCCTAGGATTATATTTCTGTTCATCTTCACGCACGTTTTATTATCTGTTGTTTAGTGGTGGCAAGTCGATAAAGTATCGCCCATAAAGCTGTTCGACGAAAACAAAACATTGTCTGGATTGAATCTACGCCACTTGATGTACCAGCACGGTAGTCACGCGTTCGTTCGACGGGCGGTGAATCAAGTGTACACGCTGTGGAGCGAGGGCAAGATCAAGCCAGTAGTGGATTCTACATGGGCGCTGGAGGATGTGCCCGAGGCTATGCAAAAAATGCACGATCGCAAGAACATCGGTAAGATCGTGCTGGATCCGAGTCTGGAGCCGAAGCCCAAACCAGCTACGCCGGCTAAGGGCAAAGCGAAAGACAAGAAGGCCGCGAATCAGGAGGAGAAAAAGGCGTCTAGCGTAGAGTCGGAAGAAGGGGAGAAGAAGAAGGAGCCCGAGTTGACAAACGGTACCTCAGAAGACAAATCTGATAGCGGTAAGAAAACAGTGTGGCAAATTTATAAGCGTAATCGCAGTAATGTTACGTTATTTCGTACGGTCTGTCGAGAATTGAATGTCTGAACACTCGCTCGTACTTCCTGTTTCAGATTCGAAAGAGAAGGAATCTAGCTGAATTAGCGATAGTAACTAATCCTCTAAGAACAAAGAAATGATACCCGTAAACATCAAGAATTCCCAGGAAAGTACTATTGCTGAGAGATCCATCGCTGTTATCCGAGAGAACGATAAAATTTGACTTGAGTAATCCACGAATGGGTGGAATATTGCGTAGAATTTACGTGCAGATGATCCACAATGAGAGAACTGTAATTCATATCGTATGACCTAATAATATAACGAGGGAAATGTAATCTGTCTCTTCGAGCAGATAAAACAACCTGTGGAATATGGAATTAAAGTTTCAATTTAGCGAGTAATTGATCGCTTGCACTGTAAGCTATACACTGCTTTCTTTTTACGTCAAAACGGATGTTCCTCTCTTTACCGTATGTCATCTGCATGTATCTATTTTACACACATTTGCGCCGAGATTAAGAGTTCATGCGAGTTACGAGAAAAGGAGAATCAACCAGCATATTGCATAAAGGACGAGAGAATCAACCAAATAGAAATAAAAATCTTGATGCGGTCCACAGTAGTTTACAGAATATAAGAATACGTTATGTTTATTTTTTCACACCGACCAAATGGTTAATTTTGCGAGGAGTTAAGTAAACAACTGTTGGATACCGGATAGTTATTAAGCAGCTTGGCTCCTTTTTTTTATTATCGTTATTGTCATCATTTTAGGAAATGGTAACAGCATTTCCGTACTTATCAAACAACCATGAAGATGACGTAACAGAAACGCAGTTTAATAAGCAGTTCAATAATTGTATGTTGTCCAACAGCTACCTACTTGGCTCTGTCTATTTGTATCGAATACTATCGCTGCTATTATGATATATACTAACAATCTCTTACATTAATATAATATTACCTCTATTTGTAATTTAATGGGATAAAATAACATATTGCGCTAGAGTTTCCGTGGAAAAAAGCTAAACGCGGGGCTGCATTACTTTCGTATGTAAATTTTATGTATTAAAGATGTTTTTACGCCACCTTATTATTCATCGTGATGCTTTTGTCACGATGAAATATCCTTTTAAATTTTAACGATATAGTCATGAAAGTCAAGAGTAATATTTAGCATTATATATTATGGGGCATTTCGCTGGAATTTAGATATTCTTTTTTCATACTCTTTCATATTCCGTAGTTTTTATGTAAAATTGTAACCTTCAAGATTTTTCTACGTAAAAATTGAAAAGTAAAAAAAAATCAAAGTCTATATGTAACTGCCTGAACATTTGTTGCAATCGGTATTTTTCTATTATTGAGATTCTATCTCTTCAAATTATTGATATGTACTGATTTCTGCAACGATATATCAACGAGATGCTTTCAAGATATTTCGATTAAGTTTTGGAAATCCGATGTAACGCAAAACTATTTAAGGATAAATGCATTCGTTAATGTTTATCATGCGCTAAAAAGTTCGGATAGCGATCAGATTTAATATCTAATCTGAATATAAGAACTTACTGAATATATAACGTGAATTAATTAAGCGAAAATGTAATTAGACTGACTAATTATGGCTTGAAATTGTAAAAGCCTAATAGAAAAACATTGCTCGGCACAGAGGTGCTTTGAGAATTATCTTAGCGAATGTTGGCGTATTATTATTTCTATGTGAAAAAGAGACTTTCGAATCAGTTTTAATGAAAGAAACACCGAGCGTACGTGCCCGTACGATACGCATGTCTCGTCGTTTTTATTCAGATATACGAATCGATAAAGTATTTTAAAGACTCCGAGTAACTTTTTATCGTTTAAATGAAATTTTATAAACATTTTAATGACGTTGCATCAACATATGTACATGAAGAGTAATTTAATGAATTAGCATTGTAGATTTATATTGCTTTTCTTTTCTATAAGAAGGAACGACAGTCTAAAGTACGCAAAGGCCTCATTTTTTTATTATCGCATATTCGCGTGAATGCGCAGTTGTGTCGCTTGGACACCGAATGCGTGACTGCGATAAGTCCGATAAGTTGTGTTAAGGTCCGCATTGCGGATTTTTTCCTCGACTTTCGAACCTTCGAGTTATAATTTTCCGACCGGCCGTGATATATAAATTGAATATATCGTCGGCCGTTCTGCGCGATTAAACAGCGAAGGACGCGTTACTAACGATGATCTGTCGAACGAGAAGGTTTCGTAGTAATATCAACGGAAGATTAAGGATCCTCGTGAGTGTCTCGAGGAGATGAAGGAAGAGGAGAAGGGAAAAAAAGGATCTCGAGGGCGTGTCCTCAACGGAACGCGCCTCGGTGGAGGAACGCTGGCCGATGCAGAATAAAGTGTGCATATCTCTCCGGAACGTTGGAACAATTTTGATGTAGCCGATTTCGTTAGGATTTGATACTAGCTCTGTATACCGATATCTATATTATACAAATCACTATGCGAGATGAAAAAGGAAGTCACGCGGACGAGGGGGAAGGTATGCGTCGACGATATCCCGCGCGCCGATCTCGAGCGCGTCTCGGGAGTGGCGCGCGGTACGCGCCAAGAATTAACTGCCGTATCGAATCTCTCGGTCCAAAGGTACATAAAATACTAATCCTTGCTCGTCGAGAAAAAAAACGTATCAGTCTGAAAAAGAAAAAGACAAAAAAAAGTGTGGTAAAAAAAAAACTGCGAAAAACATGGTAAATGTGGCTGCATATTTTGAGACATCTTTTAAACACGTAACGATAACACACGATAATCCCACACGAGGCGTACACGAGTACACGCTCACACATAATACGACCGACACCACACATCATACTGTATATTTTATTGTAAGGCTTTAAATGTTTCATCAAATAACTCTATTATATTATAATATATCTATATATTTGTATCGATCGTTTCCTCCTGCCCTGATTACTTTTCTTTTTTTTACTTAGGTCCGAACGTCAGAATATAAGAGTCCGGGATCTGTGCGAGATGTTACACGTGGGATCGGGTGCGGGGGCTTTGAATTTAAAGCGTAGATTGGCGCGAGGGAATGCCATTTCGGGATATAATTAAGTAATATTAATCGAACAGCCAAATCTTTTACGTACAACTGCCGTAAGAAATTGCGTTTCCAGAGATGTTTTGCGCTCTCTTGGTTGAAGGACGACCTCGCGAATATGTTGCATATTCAATATTTTCTGTATAGCTAGTAATATAGCTTGTGTGTTCTCAGTTGTTTCTCCCTCGACGAAAGAGAGACGAGATATTTCAGATATACTTTGCGTAATTAGCTGCCTTTGACAAAGAGCCGGAGAACAAAGCCGCGAGTTCATTACGTTGATTTGTGTTGATTATTAACGTATTTGACCGCCGTACTCTGGAAATGTTTACCTGAAGCGAAAATCTAAAAGCGGACGAAAAATCATGCGCTATCCTCCCTATATCATAGCGCTGTCTCGTAACTGCGAAACGTAATTGTAATTTTGGAAAAACGTTTTAATTAAGAGCATGAAAGCGCTACGTGAACGTTGCGAAAATGTTTTTATCAACCGAATTTCTATTTTATAACACACATACTTAACGTGTCACATTTTTGTGACGCACGTTTAGATCGTTCGATGAAGCCATTTTTATAGTAAATTTTATGAGCAGGACTCGAAGATTTTTAAACCATGGGACAATCGGCGCAAATTGCCACTCTGAAATATGCGTTTGATATAGTTTTAAGAATGAAAAATCATGATTTTTTGTGCTATCGTCACAAGAATCGTCAAGTGATATAATTCATTACTCATTCATTTACGCCAGAATGAATCTTTGAAGCCAATTGTGGCCAAAATATACATTATAAATCATCGTCGGGAGAATGACGAAGAGAAATTGTTCGCAGTTGCTGCCAAAAAGAAAGGGGGTTGCGCGGCGGGTAACAGTTTCCAAGCTTCAGTGACAATTTTCTGCCGTTGGAAGAATAGTTTCGCTCTCGTCTCAAGGCTACGACCATTCCGTTTGGCGCGATAGAGAGAAAGTTAGAGAAGGAAGTTAAAGAATGTTGTGCGTCTTATTAGTTATGCGAAACCGCATCGTTGGAGAGCAGGACCTACAATTTCGCGAACGTGATACATTATGATTGTGTAAAATTGTAAAATTTATCGAGGGGTCCGGGCGAAAGCGACGCGCTCTTTTCGGCTGTGAGACTCTTGAGTCGCGACCAGCCTCGCCGAAGATGCTCACGAATGAAGGGAAAGGATACCTTCGCCCGCTCCCCGTCAAGCTTGATATATAGATTGTATTTTTGGCTTATTACTGTAAGACTGACTATGTTGCTATATTAAAGATTGCTTCAAAAACAAGTAGAACTTGATTGCATCCTCTTCTTCTTAGGATTCCTCCATGTGACTCGGCGATTTATTTTCAAACATATATCAGTTGTCGTTCTCGAGACGAGTTACAATCTCACACGTACTCTCACAATCTTCAATTCTACACAAAGCAGTTCTTTTATAAACTGAGGAGGCATACATGAAACGAGGGTCAATGAGTCAACCATTTTCACACACAAAGACACATTCAATCCACTCCTATCTTTGAGTAAAATTAGTTAATAAATTAACCGGGAAGGAAAAAGTACTTTAGGACACAATAATACATATACGTTTTTTATTGTTTACTCGTATAAAGGTTATAAAACTTAAAAATATGTATAACGTGTGTTAAAAATCGATTCCGTTAATATCTAAAAAAAAGCATCTATCGCGCGATACATCGTGCAGATTTATTTCGCGATTTCAATGAATCATTACTCAAGTACTTTATATATATATCTATATTTTTTAAATTTGTATTGTGAAGCAGACTTCTTCATGGACGGTATCTCGAAATGTTACGCGCACACGAATGCGTTTTAAGGGTTTGTTCATCGTAATAGTGCCTGTCTATTACGTCATGTAATAAATATTTTCTGTGTGTCCTGAATGGCTATAAAAAATTGCCGTGCGAATTGTGAATAGATGACGTTTGAAGTCCAAGGTAAAAGCCCTTAAAGCACCGGTGTGACGCGTAATTACACTAACTAAAACCTAAATTTCAATATATATTTTATACCTTGTAATATACATATTTAGTGCTATGTTATTAAAATAGATCTTTGATGTTTGTCTGAAAACAGATACATATTTATACACGTAATTGTATAACTCTCGAGGCACTATCAAGGGACGGCATAAAAATCTTTTCATACACGCAAATATGTATATATAAACAGGACGGTATCATTGTCACTTACTCGATTTTATGAATCGAGTTAGAATACATCTGTTTCTCCTACCCTACTATTTACACATTTTGCCGATCACATTAACGTCTTGTATATCTCTTTGATTGATCTTTTTATATTCGAGGATTGATGCGATATAAAACAGAAGTTTATCTCTAAGTCGGAAATATTAACGAGTACTACGAAGGCACGATCTTCAATTGATAACTTCGCGAAATGGAATAAAAAATATTAAGGAATGATCTTCAAGATGCGAAAAGATGGAATAATTTTTGAAAAGAAGCAATATCATGTGTAGCTTATTAAAAATCTGAAACTAATTATTTTTTTCGGTATACTCTATGAACACTTTTGCCATAATTCTTTTGGTAGTTATAGTTAATAGCGTAATTGACGAAAATCGCCAGCTACAACTATTACACTTGATTTGTACTTCAGATGCTTTGTCTCCAAAAGTACGATGCCCTAGCAATGTAAAAAATACAAATTTCAGACATTCTAAGACTTAAAAAAACAGGACGGATATTTGTAAATAATAATAATCGTTAAACAATACAATAAAAATGCGCGAAATTGCGGTAATATTTTCAGAAATAATTATTTTCGATCGTGCAATCTTATGACATAATCGGTTTTGTGCGTTTTATAATTCAAAAGTATATAAATAACACTACTTTCTACAACTATATCATAAGCCTTCGAGCAAGTAATAAAATATTAATTGTTCTTATTTCACTCTTGACAAAATATGATCTAAAGTATTTACTGGTGCGAAAATATGCAAAAATAATATGAAAAGATCATGAGATTTTTATAATTGCAAAATATATCCTATGCTACACAGATTGCGTAGCAAAAAGATCCTCAACATGAGTATTGCATACAAAAATAGTAGTCAAAATTACTAAAAGTGATTATCTTCATTGGAAAAAGAAACAACGTTAAAAACTCGTTTTTATATTGGTCATTGCGCACGCGAATCATATTTGTAAAATTATATAAAACGGTTCTTCATATTTAGAAGTGAGATTCGTGGACATGTATTATATCCTGATTACCGTATCGTTCCATATTTGTTCTCCGTTAGCAGAGGCAAATCATGGCAATGGAAATGGGTAAGGATCGAATGCTATTACCGCTAGCCGTCGCCGAATTGCTGCGTTCGGAAGTACCTCGTTAACGTGACGACGAGCGACGCGATGAGCAGGAAACCTGCTGGCGTGGTTAAAAGCCTAGCAGCATTGTAAATTGGGCAGTAGGGACACTGGGAGCTGCCGCAAACCTCACATATATTTAATGTGTATGTAGGCAGTGCATCAAATATAGATTCGTTGAAGCGTTCTGAAATGAGAATAACGAATATGTCTCGATACGCATATCAAGCGTAATAAGCAAGTAAATTTTATATATATAATGAGATATATTTATAAATACCTGGCGCATAGTAATCGTAAACTCGAATAGAAAGGTATCGCGACATATTTGCGACCGGATACCAACGTTCCACCGTGAAGTTCACGCACGTCTCTTCGTTGTCCAGATAATCGAAGTAGAAGAGCACTTTCCTTTCTTGGAAACGTGCTCTCTGGAGATTCCTCACCCGCTTCGATAAAATGTACCTGTCCAGATTTTGCTGTTGGATTATGTAACCGGTTGGTACGGCTACATCCAATACAGCCATACCGGAACGGGCAGATTCATTGAGATTCGTCCATCTGTGTAAGAATGCAACGCGTTTTTACGAGCGCAATGACAATGGTGAAGACATTTTATTACGATTGTATGCAATCTCACCTTTGACAGCTAAGATATGAAATGTGAGACTGATTTCTGCCGTGGAAATTCGCTCTGGTGACTAGATCGAAGGCTTTAACCGGCGGTTGCGTTTGGAATCTCTTTATATCCACATTGTACTGCACGTGCATCTGCAGAATAGCGTAGCCCGCACCCTTCGCCTGCACTTTCACGGTTCCCCACGCTTCCGGGATCTGAAAAATGATAATCGTGCGATTGAGCGTCATTTTACTATGTCTCGCAGAATATAAATACCAGTCTCAAAATGTTACGTACCTCAAGAGTTTGAAGCCTCGCTAGATTCTTATCGTTAACGGTCAACGTCTTGGTCTTTCCCGGCAAAGCAGTAGCCTCTATCGTTACCGTGAGCGAACTGACGTCCCTGATTCTCGATCTCACGGTATACTCCATTAGTGCCTTCATCGCCCAAACGGTATCCTGAGTGGAGGCCCATCCGCCGTCCGTCAATCTCTGCGCGTTAAGCCACTTCACTATCGGCTCTATCATGATCTCTTGCCGAGCGACGTAAACGAGCAGCGCGTACGCAGTTGTCTCTATGTTCTCCGAGTCGTACTCGTAGGGTAAACGTGGCAGCAGGAAGGGCTTCTGATTCTCCATCTTGTACGGAGGAAGCGGCACTTGTTCTCTACCCCAGTACGTCAATCCGCCTTCTCTCCGTGCGTGTCTCGTCAGAATGTTGAAGGCTTGCTCGGCAGTCGAGGCTTTCGCCACCAAGAGTGCATAGGCCACTAATGCTATCTCATAAGGCTTACCGCGATCCTCCAACAGCTTCAGGTTCCTCTCCAACCATTTGATAGCGTTAGCCGCGCTTAGAGCCACTTGAGAACCTAGGCCGCCCGTGAGGTCCTTGACGCTCTCTAGGGTGATGAGCACATGAGCGGTGAGAGTGATGTTTCGATGGGTAATTACGTCGTTTCTATAGTTCAAGGAGCTGTTCATCTTCCGATCCGGCAGCCAGGTCACCTCGTAGAATGCGCCCTCCGGCGTCTGATGCTTCAATATCCAAGAAACTGCCTGGGCGATCACCTCAGGATCAATGTACAGGTAGTTCTCCCACTCGTAGAAGCTGGCCTCCTGGAATATCCGCGCGCAGAACGCCGTCAACCAGACACTCGGCATCGACTGGTTCCAATCGGTACGGAAAAAGCTGAAAGACCCATCAAGATTCATGAAGGACAGCTGTCGCTGATAGCCAATGTTCATGTAGTAAAAGCTCTCCTTCTCCTGGGTGCGATTGCGCTGGTTGATCAAACGCATATACAGGGTGGTGTACATGTTGGCGGCGAAACTGAACATGTTCTGCTCGGCGCAGTCAATAGGCAGATTCATAAGGCTTGTCGCGTTCACCGGCATCGTCGGGAAGATAGGTCCCACCACATCGCCGACCAAACTGATGGTCGCTTTGTTAGATCCAAATACGTAGTAACGGTTCTCGTCGTATGGTATAATCGGCGTCTCGGTGATGTTCACATGCATGTATTGGAACACGTAGGCGCGATTGCTGAGATCCAGCAGGATCGACTGGTGCCGATACTGCGCCACTCCATCCGCCTCGACGTGTAGAGTGCGTGTCACCGAATCCTTGCCAATCAAAGTAGTCGCGTAGACGTGCACCTGAATGTCGCCGAGTCTCACCGGTACAATGGGCAAATAAACGATGCTGGCATCCTGAGCGGGGATCCAGATGAAAAATTGATGCTCGCCAAAAGAGGTGCGCGGCTTATACGATTGCACGATGCCATTGTCTTCAACGTGGACGAACTTGTAGTCTTTGGAGCCCGCCAAAACCACTGTCGCCTCGATATTATAATGCATATAATTGAAAATGGACACGCGAATACCAATTTGCTCGCCCTGTCTGCTGTGACTCGGCATCTCCACGTTTATAAAGAACGGCAGGACTCCGGTATATGGAAGTGCCTTCGGCAACATACCGAATCCGATGCTGGGCGACATACTGAACGCGGTGACCATCCAGTGTACCGGTCTTCGTGGTACGTCCAAGTTGAAGATCTGTCGGCCGTGCGGACCGATGTTGATATCCTTCCACAGCCAAACATTTTCGTATTGCCTCTGGATCCGGTTGAACCGCCACTTGCGGAACTGTGCCAAGTCAGTCGCGTTCCGATCGACGCATCGCGCCTCGTCCGTGCCGTCCTCGCAATCAAATATGCCGTCGCATCTCTTGTCCAGTCTGTAGCATCGGCCGGTCAGGCACTCACCGTATCCCTGCGTTCGATTGCAGAGATCGTGCCGCCGATGTAACACGGCGTCCGTGAAGACGACCAGGCCGATGTAATCAAACGTGCGATTGACGTCGATGCCGAAGGTGGAAGACGGGAAGTACACCATCTCGTCCGGATCACCGTCGTGATACTGCCAAGTGTGCGTGTGCGTGCCGTTGGTATCCTCGTCGAAATGAGCCATCTTTGAGATCACGTTTGCATACGTCAGCTCGTTGCCCGCCTGCATAGAGTAGAACGACCGATCGATACCTGACAGCGCAACGTAGGCTCCGGGTTCGCCGTAGATGGCCACTTCAACGCGCTCGCCCGTTCTTGCCTTTTTATTGTTGATGAACACGGTAAAGTTGTTGCGCGAGATTCCGTTCACCGGGAAGGTCAATGAATCTGCGATGACTTCGCCGTAGCGGCCCACGTAATACACCACCGCCGTTGCGACGGGAGCCATCTCAGGGCTCAGAGGAATCGCGAAAGTCTTTATATTGTGCTGCATGTTGTCCTCGCCACTTAGAAGTATTATACCTTTGGCCATGATAAGGTAGTTGAAGGCGTCAATGTAGAAGTTGGTCTGTACGTGGAATACCATGTATTCCCCGACTTTGGGCTTTTCGGTGGACGTTGATATCTTGATGTGCTTCATATGCGGAGATTCATGAGCGAGCAACAGCAGCTCGGTTTCCGCTCTGTAACCCTCGCCGTCAATGAAGTGCGCGTGGACTCTCATGGAGGCGATGTCGTTCAGAATTTGATTGGCGCGATCGGCGTCGTTCTCCAGCGCGAGCTGTCTCCTGAGATCCATCTTTATAGTCCATACGTCCGCGTGTTCCGGCGTCGCTCTCGGGTATTGGGTATCGATGTTACGACGTCCACCACTTCGCATCTCGATGTCCGCGCGGATTTCCATCATAGCATCCCTGAGTTGCCTGGGTTGCAGCGGCGAGTTGTCGTGAAAGGATGCGACCAGATTCAAGGTGAACGGCATCGCTGGTTTGAAGACCTGTGGAGTACCGCCAAGGAAACGGACCTTCGTGGTGGAATTGAAGATCCTCGCCGTAGAGTAGCCGACGATGACCTCGTCCAAGAATCTCTCGCCCACTGTTGCGACCACGGTGACTTCCAATCCGTCAGTCGACGGAACGAAGTTCAGCAATTCTTGCATAGGATATCGGAAATGGTACGTTCCATTGAAGAACCTCAACACTGGTACTCTTTCCTCATATATATTAAGTATTCTAAACCACGATGGATAATACTCGTTGAAGTTGAAGTATCTCTCAACTGGTTCGATCGCCATTTGGGTATTGCGTATTCTTTCCAGTGGCTTGAAACTAGCCTTCAAAGTCAGATTACCCCTCACTGGCGCGCCCGAGGTGTAATTCGCCTGAACGATACCGTAAATGTAGGGATCGTTGTTAAAAAAGAACGCCGGCATCGTGACGTTGACTTCAAAACGCGTTTGATAGTACTCTTCTACGAGGAATTTATTCTCCTCCACTTGATTCTGCGCTATTACTTGCACAATCCATTCCCCGAAGACAGGTTGATCAGAAAGTTGGTACGACAGCGACACTGTGCCTAAATTGCTCTGCCTGCTGAGCCATCTTCTCATAATTCTTCTGTTCGGATCCAACATGTACACGTCCACAGGATTGTTATAGGCTTTTAACTCCGTATCTATCGGGATTGTTCTGAATCGTACTGTTTCGCCCTGCATGTACATGGGCTTGTCCAACTGTATAAAAATAGTCATAGACCGTTGCGAGAATATCAATTTGGTTTCATTCAGAAAGGCTTGGCCGCCTTTCAAATTGTTGTACATCCCTTCCACGCGCAAGTTATAGTCGCCACCCACGGAAGTAGGTGGCATACGCATCAATAAGGTTTCAGGTATGCCCTCCTTCACTTCTTGATAGTCCGTCGCTATTTCCACACCATTTCGCTGAATAGATGTACGCACTGTCATAGGCAGCGGACTATGAAGAATGTTTACAGCAACCCTGTACACTTGACCTGGTCTAACCATGCGAGATGCAACTACAAAGTACGTGCTGAAAATAAGTGAAAAATATTCATTACGTCAAATCGTCTTTACATAAGGTTCTTTTTTATCATCAGACTCAGCGATACTTACGATTCTTTAATTATGACATTCTCATTTTGGCCTTGATTCCGGAATCCAAAACCTGTATTCTGATCCCAGTCGGATCCATCGTAACGATTCCATGGAAGCCTAGGGGTAGATTCCGTCGATTCCTGGGTGAACTGGCCATTTCCAGAGGCCAGGAATAATAGGAGGATCCAGAACATCTTTTCTGAAATATGTGATTCATCATTCATTTATATTCCATGAAAACGTTTGAAAATACTTTTGAGTCATCTCTCAGGTGTCAAAAACCACAACAGCCGCGACGTGTCAAAAATCAGAAGAATATAAAGATCAACTCATGGGCAACGCGAGAGCGGCGATTGTAATTGAAACAGTGTCAATTACACTTAATTGTTCCCCGGCGAGATTAAAAATCCATGACGTCGTAAATAAACACAACTTTTGACACATATACCCGTCAACGCCTTTAATTGGCTCTTTACTATTGGCGGTACGCGTGACTCTCGTTGGGCGCGGTCGATTTTCTGCGTAAATTAACGAAATGGTGAATTAACGAGTAGCTCTCCGGCCGCTGCGGCTCCTCTATACGTCGAAAATCACGCGGAGAGACGCGTTAAAAGCGAGATCTCTCTCGCGGGGGGGTTAGGGCTGGGGCAGCGCGGAGCGGCGGTCAACGCCCAAACGCGCATTCCTCGAAACGCGTGTCATCGGCGCTCACCTCGGGATCCCGATATCCTGGTGGTCGAGTAGAATCCGCCGTGTCAGCGAGTACCGCGCGCGACTAGCATATCACCGCGTTCGCGCGTCTACGGACGAGGATACTCAGAACAGAGCGTCGAGCACGTCGGTTACGCACATCGCGCGGAAACTCTCGGCCGGAGAGGAGTGGCCCGTTGCGAGCGAACTTGTATTTTGTCGCTGGTGATGGTGACGCGCGAGCAACGGCAATCCGGAGTCAGTGATGCCAGAATCAGCCTAGAGAAATTCTGTACGCTGGTTGTAGTTTGTGTTTCCCCAGACCTAACCTAACAATTTTTTTTTTACAATTTGTTTTTGTTCTTTGTAGGTTTATTACGTCGACACTTTCCGCACTTGAAACGAGATAGATATAACTCGGACATTGGAGAGAAAGAAAAAAGATAAAGAGACAGGAAAACAATAAACAATTACAAAAGCAAAAGGTGTGTTCTTTGTAGCTGCACTGGGTTCTACTTTTTTGCACCTAAAATGAGACAGAAATATGGATAGATATTGGCGACAGAGAGAGGGGAAACAGAGATGAAGAGCACAAAGATTTCAGCTAAAGAATGGACGTCGTGATGTTGCGTGATGTTGCGTGGTTGGATGCACCACGGTGTATAGGGTGACGCGAATCGACATCGATCTCGCCGCGCGACCGCGCGATTCATCGGCGTGGATTACGTGGATATCTCATTTATTATTTGAACACTGTATACGATTTTAAATAACGTCGAGGTTGGTCGAGGTGTACCATTCATCATGCGTATCTCGAACCACGTTCCATGCCTTTTGCAGTGCTGTCTCCCGTAGATATCTGTTTACCGTGATGGATAAACCGCCTGAGAAATTACCGTGCAAAACGCTAACGTGAGTCTACCAGTCTGGCAGCTTATGATGCCTCATTGCAATAGCTCATGAAAATAATTAACTAATTAAGATTATTAGCGATTTTACTGACACTGCCCACGTGTAAAGACAAGTCGTTCTACATTTTGATTGCATTGAAAGATTTTTTTGTAACGTTAGAAAAATAAAAATTTATTTTATCGGTAGATAACTCTTGAATCGAGGTAAAAATTGCGTCGTTTGTTTCATTAAAAATTATAATTAGTTAATAATGTATACGTTTAATAATAGACTTAATTGACTGAATAAAAATTAATACTTTTTTTTTTTTACAAATAGAGCCAAAGAATTGTTATGCAGCAAGGGTCTCAGTAATTGCGTACTGGAGGATTTGGAGAGATCCTTGAAAGCTTTGCCCAGAAGTGGAAAGAAGCATTTTGAACCTGATAACTCTTGGCTTCAAAATGTTCAGATTGAGAAAGGGCTTAAGAATCGCAGGGACTTGTTAAATATCGAAAGGGTCGAACGTATCTCGGAATTGGCCAGTGCCGAATGGCTACCGTCTCAGAAGAGAGCTCTTGTTACTAAAAGATCCGGTCAAGACTGGAGTAACTTTGGTCTGGAGAAAAACGGTTTCCTATATTTGCTCCCGGAGGAAGCGTTATTTCTCATGGAAACAGTAAATTTTCTACAATCTGTATAATATCTTGAATTTTAAATGTTTCAATCATTACTACAAGTTTATTTAATTTTACTTTCTTGTATTTAATATAGAATTGTCTTGAGCTCATTTGGAATGGGTTGTCATGTTCAATCCAGCAAGCATACGAGATCTTGATTGATGACTCAGCATGTACCCTGGAAGAATATAGAGTTTATAGTCAATTAACACGCTATGGCTATCGTATACAGCGCTACTTCTATGAAGAGTCAGATAAGTGCAATAGATCAGATGAACCTACTCCCATTAAACGGAAAATTATTGTTGATCCTGAGACTGGACTGAGAATGTCCGACAACCAGCCACAGAATAAGCAAAGCGCAAAAAAATCAAAACCAACTTTAGCGAAGGATGTGCCGGAAACGTCGGATAAACCTTTTGTTAGTCTTGACATAAAAGACCGTGAAAATACTACTGTAGGAGAATCTGTAAAACAAACAGTACGTAATCTAGTGGACCAGATTGTGCGTAATATGGAAAGTCATGAAAATGAAAATAAACCAGCCACTTCCGGAGGAGCTGAAAACAATGTGACAGAAAATGATACGAGCAGCGAGGAAAAAAATCGAAATTCTAAACCAGAAATAATTTCCGACGAGACTTTGCTGGGCAATATCAAAATTCTCAGAGACACACCGTGCAAGATATCAAAGTGGCCGGGCGCTCGTATTCAGCGTAATGTTAAGCAGTTGCCTAAGAGGAACGATAAAGTATCGTCTCCGGAAATTTCTATAATCGATTCCAATTCTACGGATGAAAGTCCGAGGCGTGCAGAGAAACGGAATATGCAAAATGATGATTCACATGCGAAAAAGTTCAAGCACGAGGTAAGATAGTCTCAAGTATACGCATAGTGCCCAGTAAGCTATTTGCTAAAAATAAATATGCTTTTTTCTCTCTTCAGGTGATTGAGTTGTCTGACGATGAGATCCAGGAATTACCACACTGTATGACAAGAATGGAAATGTTGAATCTACTACCAAATATCGCCTTTCAATCGGAAATTAACGAGAAAATCTCCAAGCGATATATACCGCATAACATAAGGCCTCAGAGGAGTGCATATCAATACAATCGGACGATGATTTTAAACATGCAGGAGAACGACAAACGAGCGCGACAGAATTGCAAAGATAATAGGACCAACGGGAGACAAAACGCCTCTCACTCTAGGAGCCCACTCGCCGTTAATAACAGAAGTTCTGTCTTTCAAAATCGACGTACACTCTTGCGTACCCCATCGCAATCGTTTTATCCTGTGGATCAAATGCACGGAACGAACATTAGCTTGCCTTATGCGTACAGATTTCCGTTCAATTACCTTCCAGACGTTTATTTACAAAATAGAGTCACGCAGAATGTATTTCACAATTTATTCGTCGCTTTTGGGAATCACGGGAATCACGCTGTTCAACAAAGAAGTCTCACCATACAGATGAACAATTTCATGATGCCGATGGAGGGATATCGAACAAGGCAGTTCTTTACCGAGAACCAACTCCGTCACGGTTTCTATCAGAATGTTTTATGGCAGCAGAGATTTTGTCAGCGGAGAACGACGGAGAACGCATTGATCCATGGCAACGTGCATTCTGCTGCAAGACGACGACACGATGATGCCAATAATCTAGTCGGTCACGAGATCATTAATCGGCCTTCCTTTACGACACGTTTAGGAGTTAACTCGTGGACAGAATTGAAGAGAAGATGGTCCGAGGAAAAAACCATCACAATCGACGATGAAGATTATAAAAACAAGAGCGAAAGCGAGGAAGATTGCACTGAAGTGCAAGTCGTGAAGCTTGTCAATCCTTTGGTCGGCCCGAGAAACGCATCCTCGATGACAGAAATCTTCAGTAAGCTCGCTATAATAAAATCAGCACCGGAAAGAATTGTTAGAAGGAAAAAAAGCAAATATAAGATATCGTACAATGTGTATTCCTGTACGCATCATTATAGAAAGGCGAATCCTGGTCAACCACTGTACAGCCTGGTAGTGATAAGGTATTATCTTTTAATAAAAAACAGATATATTTCTGTGCATGTCAATCTTTGGTAATTTCCAATTAAATTTCAGGAAGGAAGACTCGATTATCCAACCTGTCGAGTTGAATCGCCTACAACAGGATGCGAAAGGTTCCCAGATAGTATTAGCATATGTGTCAATGTCAATATCATACATTCAGCCGGGTATTATAACGATGCCAAACATAATTTAACTTTTTGTTCGAGTACACTTAATTGGTTGGAATTATTTTGGAGCAAGCGAGGTGTCTAAGTATGTCAAAGTTTATCCTGTATAAGATCCGAACTTTTTTTGCTACCTTAATAAACTTTTGTATACTTATAAAAGATGTGTATAATACTTCTTCAATTTTAAGGAGTTACATACTTTTGACAGGCTTAAAACTAGGTAAACCCCATCCCCTAAAATTTGTTTTATACCTTCTGAAACACATACCTGTAGTAAACCCTCGGGGAAAATTAGAGGAAAAACCCGGCCCTTTTAAAAACAAAACAATGCCTTTCCTTAGCAGCGTATACCTGCGCGCCAGTTTCTAGTTTCTAGTTTCTACTCGACAATTCGACCGCGTTCTAGTGCCTAGCTATAACTTTGTTATTTGTGTGAATTTTTCAATGAAAATTTTAGAGAATACTCTTCAAGTATCTACTATCGAAAATAAAAGAGAAATTAAAGCATCGATTTTTCTGACCCTACCAAAGGTATGAAATATCTTGATAAAAACGAAAGAATTGATCAAAATAAACACTGCCTACATGTATAGGGATGACAGTGTTATTATATATACATCAATACATGTATCACATTACATGTATATGTATGTATGACGCTATTTATATTTATTTCCTAGGAAAGAGATAAAATTTAGATAATAAAATTTGAGTATGTGTTTGATATATGTCGAACATTGATATGTCAAACTATGACACGTCACTTCAATTGCTTTGAGATATATAGTGTCTCGATTTTTTTCAATAATCATAAACAGTCACAATAATTGTTGGTTACTCGAGTATTTAAATATAAAGCATGAGCTACCTGAAGAAATATTAAAAGAAGGAATAGAACTACAATCGGTCAGTTATTATATATAAAGTACAGATATACACACACACACACATACACACCACACACACACATTTACGAATCTGCGGCACCTGCGCTGTGTTTACAATGGTCGCGTTCAGCAGACCAAACCGCTGAGTAGCAGTCGAACGTGATTGGCTCTTACTTTTAGAACCAAGCAATCAACGTAGAGTGTTGATAAGACGAACTCAACAGTTGTGTCTGCTGAACGCGGCCAATGTGCGTTGCGCAGGTTGCGCTTTCGCCACTTTGGTTCGTTGATGTATCGTGTTATGATCATAGAGATATAAGAATAGAGTGCACGAGTCATATGCTAGCACGTAAGAGGCTGCGATATAGGAATAGAAAAAGAACGCTGCATATAGGCCCTTTCTGTCTTTGTCTACGCGTGCATGCGAAACAAAGACAGAAGGGGCCCATGCGCAGCTTTCTCTTTTTATTCTGCGCAGCTTTCTTTTTCTATTCCTATATCGCTTTTTCAGCTCGCTCGCGCACTCTATTCTTATATCTCTATGGTTATGATACGTACTGTGATATTTTAGTAGGTTCACCGATTGAAAAGAAATGATGGAAGGCACGGCGCGAAAGAAAATTCGGAAAGAAAAACCTGGTGTGTCCAAAAACGATGGCGCAGCACAAAGTTATGATAGAAATACATTGGATTCGAATGTCTATCTAACCTACGACATTCTAAGAATTATCTTTCAATATTTAAAGGCCAAGGACTTGGGAAGTGCCGCGATGGTTTGCAGGTACAACGTGCCTAATATTAATGATCCGCGCTCGATTTAATCTTAAACATTTATTTAATACGAGCAGAATAGTATCGTTTCTATATCATGTGTGTGTGAATGGACACGAACAAGATTTGACTTACAAATAATCTCTTTGTGGCGTTTTATGTTGTGTCTTTAAAAGTGATAATGATAGAACCATTAATGGTAATATTTAACATCATTCCATCTGCTGTACTACGAAAAGTACATGGCACTGTAAGTTGAACAAAGCATAAATTTGAGGAATTATTCTTTTCAGGTCCTGGTCAGAAGCTGCAAATAATGAGAAATGGACAAGAGGTCCTTGTTGTTTGCTAGGGCGTAATGTCAATGATATAAGAATTAAACCATCGGCAGGATTCTTTTTTATTCCTTGTGAAACGCCACTTGATACAGAAGGTATATATTTTGTGACTATTTTTATCATATTTTCTTTAGTAAGTACAGATACAAATTTTGGAGTTTTATAAAAATAAATTGTAAATTAATTTATTGACGTAAAAAAGTATGAAATGAATATGAATGTATTAATACTATTTTGATACTACATCTTTTATTTCTTTTCCTATTTAAGTCAGAATAATATGGAATCGTTGAAATCAATCTTTTATTTCTTTTTAAATTCATATAGTAATCAAGATGATGAATATGTATAGGGATTGGCTACCTTACCATTGCAAGACTATAAAGTTTTATAGTGATAGTACTATTATGAATAATTACGAAATGGAGTGTAATCCACGTATGGTGTGTGCGTTTTTACCACAAATCCCGAACGTGGAAATAAAATTGTTTGAATACTCGACCAGTTTACAAGCACTTGCAAAAGCTGCTAATCCTCAGAAGATAATTAGTACAATTGTTGAGCATGAAACATCTATATCAAATCACGAGACATCTACATGTTTTATGTTATTCTGTAATCGCAGCGGTAAACACCTAGCAAAACATTGGGCCTCAGCCGTGGCCGTGCAACAAAGGTATAATTTATATTTAATCCAAGCACGAATACACATTCAAATTTACTATTCAGTAGTCAAGTACGTCCAATACTGTTGTACAATAATTGCTAATACTTGATAACACATGTTTATTTTTCTTTACGTATGTTCAGGAAAGAAGATAAAATTGTTTCTGTATGGGGTGGTATAGTGGAAGATCTTTACATGCAACGTACATGTGAAACGATAGAGTTTAATAATTTCACACATGTGCCATATTGTGTTGCTGTCCTGATTACTGGTCCTATACAGACGTGGTCCACGATTTTGGACAAGGAATGCAACACAAAGGAGCAGGCCGAAGCGAAATTAAAGTTATTTAGAGATGAAGTGAAGTTAAAGAAACATTCCATAGGATTTATGTTTGCGTGCAGAGGTCGCGGAAGTACAATGTACAATGAATCTAATGTGGAATCAACGATATTCAAAAGATTATTCCCCAAGGTACCCTTAGCAGGTTGCTTTGGCTATGGCGAATTTGGAAAAAATACTATCGTTGATGAAGTAAACGAAGAAAGTGAGTAATTTTTTTCTTTCCTTTTTAGTGAAAATACCGTCTCCCGATAGGTCGATGTATAATTCTCCTTTTGTTTTAGAAAATGACAAAGAGGAACGTAAAAAACGTAAAAAATCTAAATCTTGGTATAATGAATTCTCTACTGTGTTTTTGATAATTACGTATGGTTGACGTTTTGAAAGAAGATATATATGAGTGCTGTGTGCTACGAATGTAATTTATCATTCGTGCCGTGCTAGTTTTAGGTCTTGTATTCACTCATCTTTTTCTTTGTTAACAAGACGTGAAAGCACGTGCCTCGACATTCACAGAACAAAAACATACAGCGAACATAGTAGCAATAAATCCGAGTACACAAATTGTACATTGTACCTTGTTCTTAAATGTAATCTGCGAACGCGCGTTTTGTACGAGTCCTAAAATGATGTTATCGAAGAATAAGAAAACAAGTTATAATTTATGACAAATATATTACGTTCGTACTACACATGTTTTTCATTTTTTATTCTTCCGCGTTTATTATACTTTTCTGAAGCGGTTGTTTTAAATGCGAATTGCATCGAGCATCGTCGATTCACTGTGATCTGCATTGTTTAAAACACATCTATCAGAAACGCAATGCAAATAATCCATGATACTGAGTTGTTTTACAATGCTTGTAAAATTATCAGTTAACTAGCCGGTTTCAACACTGATTTAGCACTGGTCGTACGCGATACGCGCACACGAAGTCGTACATTATTCGGTTCTGTACAAACCTGCACCCTTCTGAATGTAATTATAATCCCCCCGGCTTAACAGTACTTCCGCGCGCGCGATACAACGTGCGAGATAAAACAAGAGAAACTAGGCCAAACGAAAGGTACCAGCGTCTTATCGTGATACCGCCAGTATTTAAAAAGGAGTCTCCACCCTGAGGCATCAGTGATTCAATTACCGCGATTGTCGTTTGCAGTTTTAACGCGTGGTCTGCACGACTCGCGACCGATGTCCCTTGCTTATAACGATATTAAATATCTGTAAGATGTTACCGAGTCTAGTGTCGAAACAAATCTTCGTTCTTGTTACACTGCGGTATTCCGTGCAAGGATGGGAGAGCGGTTTGCGCCAAAGATACGACGGTTACGGAGAGGATTGGATATTCATGCCTGACGGCAACGGACAGCCCCAAGTAGCAGTGTTAAAGGTCCAAGAAAGCGAAAGGAGAGGCGTATTGGACGACTCGGAAATAGCCTACGTAATCTACACTCGGTATTCAATTGCAATTAAGCCCTAATGTGCATATTATTTAGCAACATGTGCTATCGCGCCGTAATATTCTGCCGTTTTTTACTCGGTCTCACTTTCCGTAATGCTATGTTAAGATCTAATCCAAGAGAAGGCATAAGGATGACTCTAAATGACACCACGAATCTCGCTAGCTCCGACTTCAAGCCCTCGCGAAAAACAAAATTCATAACGCACGGATGGAAGTCGAGCGCCATGAGTACCGGACTTTTGAACATGAAAGAAGGTACAGCCACTTGTCTTTCCAATTAATTTGCGAATTAGGTCTCGGTTCATTGGCGAGGCGCACTCGCGGATAATTTGCATTCTCTTTCGAGTAGCTTTTCTCACTCATGGCGACTACAACGTTATCCTCGTGGATTGGGAACCCTTGGCCGCGAGCACATTTTACTTGGGTCCGATGCAAAACACCGTAAGAGTCGGGACTGACGCCGCCAACTTTATAGACTTCTTAGTGAAAGAGACTGGACTGAAAACAGAAGACGTTCATTTTATCGGTATATTACTTTGTATAATACATACTATTATATTCGCAATCGCAATTTCATTGCCGTTTATTTATATTATCTATAAGGTCATTCCCTTGGGGCACATGTGGCTGGGAATGCGGGCGGTGCGACGACTTCCGGGAAATTGAGCAGAGTAACAGGTTTGGATCCAGCGCTGCCGGGATTCCACGTTCTCGCCTCCGAGAAAACTCGGTTAGATTCCACGGACGCGGCATTCGTCGACGTCATACATTCCTGCGGAGGTGTGTTAGGTTTTCTTCAACCACTGGGAAAAGCTGATTTCTATCCGAATGCTGGTACGGCGATTCAGCCTGGATGTTGTTGCGTCCCTGAGATAATGGGTAAAGTATCTCTGTCATAGATTCTTAAAATAGAAATATTCTTATAATAGAAATATTCTTATATTCGTTCCATTTATTCTAGAGGCTTGCAGTCATGGACGGTCATACGTATACTTCACAGAAAGTATAAATTCGAAAACAGGGCTGCCGGCTAGGAAATGCGACAGCTGGGATTCGTACATGAATGGCAAATGCGCCAATTCACAAACAGTGCTCATGGGAGAGCATGTTGATCGGACCGCCGAGGGTCTATTCTTTCTTAGAACGAGATCGGACCCGCCTTATGCGTACATACCGGAAGTAACTAACAATAATGTCTAAATGAAAATGATATACACGCAATCATATCCTTCCAAGATGCATATATCGACGTAATTCCCGTCACTTTGGATCCCGTTTGCTGACGATAGCAAGAACAGCAAATATAAAATATCTGGCTTTAATAAATAGTAATTACATTATTATACACATGACTGAGGTATAATAAACGTAGCGACGAAACAATCACTTCGGGATATTATAATCTTCTACCTTGCCTCAAAGAAGCTCGTAAAAACTGTACGCACCAATGTCGCGTCACTCGGGCACCTGTTATCCCCGCGATAGTTAAAAAAATGTACAGCACCAACAAACACGGGAATGACTTAACATTTAAATTGGTTTGTAAAGCAAAGTTGTGACATATTTCTTGCGATAACGATGCGTGGCTGACAGGACCATCACGCTGTCTTTGATGCTCAAAGCATAAAGATGGTTCAGCATAACGTGATTTGGCTCAGGTAGAAGAGTAGGCTCACACTAAAAACAAAGCATTCGGTGGCAGAAAAAGTCTTATTGAATTTTCATCGAAATAGAATATTTTTCATTTTATTAACTTACGGATAACGGTGTGTCCTTGTTGAGGATAACTTGCAACAGGTGCGGCGGCAAGATAGGTGGGCCGGTTATCTTTTCCCAAGGTTTGTGCGGTGGTATTTCTTGCCCGTACTCCGTTTGAGTGCTACTAATAACACCCTCACTGTCTTTCGCGAGAGCTTGAAATACCTCAAAGTCAGACTGCCTTACAGAAACTAAGTTATTCTTAGAGCCCATGCCATTGTCTACAATTTTCTGTAATATCAAACCAACAGTTTCTGTATTTAACGTGTGATACAATATACAAAGATACAATATATAGATACGGTGTAAATAATATACATAGAGTTATTAATTAAGAAAATAACGCTCACCAGTCCAGGATCGTGCCTCCATTCTCCGTCGACGAAAAATTTATACTGATGTTCTCCCTCTGGCAAATCAATTATTGTGACAAAATCCCCGTGGCTCTTCACCATCGGTAATGTTTTCCATCCGGTGAACGTTCCGCTGATATATACCTGCTTTCCACCACCTTCCCACTTGAAGACAGTTGGTAGTACCTTACTGTCCGCAACTTTTGTCCCCTCAGACACTGTGTTAGATCTTGGTCGCTGTCCAAAGTCTTCACCGTCCTGTTGGCCACCCTATTTACATATTCCATATAAAATTACAATGTGACATTTCTGCGTAAATAGGTATAGGTAAATGTCATTTTGATATCTCTTGATATCTTACTTTTGCAAAGTACGGCTCTTCCTCCTCATGGGAGGACTGAAATACAAGTTTCTGGCTGGGCTTCTTGTCGAAGACAAATGCTTGGCCTTCTTTTCCTGGCGAAGGTGGAGGATGATCTTTGCTGTGACGGTGCTCTCTGCTTACCGTGGTGCCATGATGATGGCCGACAGGTTGATTGCTTCCCGCATTACCCATTATTGCGTCCAAGTTCTTGACAACTGTGAAAAAAATTCGACTTTACTTTCTGCCTTGTCTGAACGATTTTAAAGCACAAGTAAATTGGGAATATTATGCAGTAAAATGGAGTGAAACGTGGATATTTAACGTAGGTTAGCCCAAGGCTATTTAACAACGTTATTCTTTTTAAGAAGGAATAAGAAACGATCGTAATAAAAAAGCTCGATCTAGATGTTGTAACGTGGTTGACGTAAAATTGATTACGTCCAACAAGTGTATTCACCGTTATTCACCTGTTTGCAACAATCTCACCTGGTGCTCCGAATATACGCGTCAACGATGAATCGAGAATGTAAACATTCGCTGGCGACGTTAAGGCTAGGTCGCGATCCGACCTCGAAAAAAATTCCGATGCAATTCTATTCTTACAAATGTGTTCGGATCGACCCAAGGGCCGTTCGCGAGACGAGAATATTCCTCGTGATTGTATACAACGCAGTCAACGCACCATATCATGTCACAAGACTTTTTATCACTTAAAATAGTTACCTAACATCGACATGTAGACGAAAAGATACTGCAGAAATTCGCGTTATCGCGAGCGTTGAATGTTGATATCGTAAGTCGATAAGATTGGGAACTTCAGTCACGTTTGACCATACGTCGTTCTTAACAACGTTGATAATGTAGATTAGCGGCGATAGAAAATCAATTCGCAATCGATCGCGAGGCAGAACAAAGTTCATTCGGCGTTCAAAATTAATTTGTGTCCAATATACATAAAATATCCCGCAATAGTAGCGTGAAAGAGCGATTAATCGAGATCGAAGGGGTATCAAGTCGTTAATTGCAGGGTTTGGATTTCGCGCGCACGCGCAATCGCCATGACAGTTTCGCGCCGCGCCGCGACGATCACGTCCCGTCCGAGCTCCGAGCTCCTCGCGATTTTCCCGTTTTTCGCGTGGTTTTTCGCGAGTCTCGCGTCCGTGCGAGTGCCGAAAGTGTCGAGCGAACTGCCGGATCGCCGGGGACGCCGGGTCGCGTCATTTCGGCAAAGATCGCAGTCAGATTTCGCCGCGGGACGGCATCGAGGGATGTCGATCGGGAATATCGGGGTTCTCCGCGAGCGACGAACGTACCGTGGGCGCGCGCGCATGCGCGGCCCGGCTGCTATTTCTACAATTTCGCGCCGCGATAATTCGTAATTCGGCGAGAGACTTTGATCCGAAGTGAAATTGTCGACCATGATGTTGAGTGTGGAAATCATATATCGTGCCTGTCCTTCTCCGTCGCTCGTGGAGAAGGACAGCCATACGATCCGTCTCCTACTCCAGCTCGTTGACCGCCATGTTGTTGAGTGTGCAACCATTTCACGGATTTTGACCCGAGTGAACATGCTACTTATACTGTGGCTTGATGTCGAGAGCGAAGTGCCAAAAGTACGGGGAGTGAAGTGTGCCGACTGGTCGTCGTGACGGTTTTAATTCGCGTACGCGATTGCGATCCACCGTCGCACCGTGCCGATACTCGCGAACGAGTAGTGCGAAACGAAGCGTCGCGTCGGGAGTGAAGTGCCGGGAGTGAAGCGCCGGGACGACGAAGCGTCGCGTCGTATCGTTCTAATTCGCGTATGTACTTATTGACACTTGAGATTATCGTGTCTCTTAATTGAGATCGCGTGCCGTGCCGATTTTTGTGACCGCTGCTGAGAGCTCCGCTTCTCGCGGCTTTGGAGGGACGAGGCAGCGGAGGAGGGTTCAGCACGACTGGAGCAGCCGGAGCTGGAGCTGCTGGAGGCGCGAGGGGGTTGCAGGGCGACTACGCAGCGGTTGGTGAGTGGAGACGAACTCTATTTTGCATGCAATTAATTAGACAATTAATTGTTTATTCGCGGTCCGACTTTTTTCGGGCGTATAAGGATATGTAGCGCGGAGGTTTGAATAATGCAAAATTTTCCATCGCGTTGCGTCGCCCGTACTCGTATCTCGCCGTTGCGGCGCCAGAGCGCGGCACCGGTTGGTATCTCCCACGATATTTCCGCGTGCGCCGAAAATAAAAACTAAATTAGTGGCAGGAACCGACGGACAAATTGCTTATTCGTCTCGGCAAATTATTGCAAATCGTGTCGCCTCGTATTTTTTATGAATTTAACTGAGCCGAATTGAACTCCGCTTCTCCCCACGTTGCCTTATAAAGTTATCGAAACACGCCTTGCACCGCTCGCACGCGTGACTCGCGTGAGCAATGTTGTTTATGGTAAAGTTATCGGTGAATATACCACCGGCTGTCGTGTCTTTCTTCATCACACATTTTTACCATTCCCTTCTGCTTCCCTCTTTCCTCTTACTCAATTTTATCTCTTCCCCCCTTGCTCCCCACTTCTCTCTCTCTCTCTCTCTCTCTCTCTCTCTCTCTCTCTCTCTCTCTCTCTCTCTCTCTCTCTCTCTCTGGTCAACTTTTTTCGCCCGTTTCCTGGGCGAATTTATTATTTATAAAGGCGAAAGCACACCCCGGGCGTGTTTCGTCCTTCGTAGCCGGCGGCTACGCGCGCGGGAGAACGCTTATATATCTCGTGGCTCGTGTTACTCGCTCGTCTCTCTCTCTCTCTCTCTCTCGGCCGCGAGGTCGGTTCGGAGGGGTGGAACCGCGGGTAAAAACGCGCCCCCCGTGTATTAAATATCCTGCAATAACAGTAATTACGGTTACGGTGCTTTGCGAAATTGCGCGGCTACCTCATCGCGCGGCCCTGCGGCCCCGGGCCCGCGCTATGTACGCGAACGCGATCCCCTTATGGGCGGCGGATATCACGTGGACAGGGTACGCCGATTCCGAGGCGAATCGGCCGCCGCGGTTCCCGAACTCCTCGAGTAACCGCAACCTGCTCATTTAGCCTTTCCCTCCCTCCCCCCCTTCGACTCGCTTGTAATCGCGAAGGGAATAGACGCGACGCGCGAAAGTATCCTCCGTGTCTCCGCTTTCGACGTAATTATATTTAAATGCACGGTGTTATACGTTTTAAATGAGGAGGACACGTCGAAATTGTAGAGCCGGTTTTACATGGGCATTTAAGGGGAACGCACGTACCGAATCGTAATTACGTTGTAATCGCGATTACGAATCGAATTATAAATCGAATTGTTTCGTCGCGTGATATAAAAGCGTTTGTATTATCGCGTAGGTGCCTTTTCTGGATTCGATTATTCGAGATGTGTAAAAAAGGCTTGACTGCATTGACAGAGCGATAAACGCTTTTCACCCGATAACGTCTCTGACGTTTCACTTATCGAGATAGTATGAATTTCATTTACCGCAGCATGCGGTGCATATTGATTATTAAATGTATTCCTTATTTAATGATGCTGATTAGATTAGTGTAAAAGGCCGGGATTATATCTAAAGTGGGAACATCTGTTCGTGGTTTCTGATGGCAATTGCGCGTTTGTTATATTTCGTATACGCTTTGCGTGATTAATTCTTATCTCGATGGACGTATTTACTTTAGAGGACTCGGAAAGTATATATAGGATTGCGTTAAAAAAGCGCGACTAGTAATTTTACTATATGCACTAGTAATTATACTTAATTACAGGAAACACTTATTTCGAAAATAATTCGCAAAGTCTAAATTTAAAAAGTAATTAAACGATATATTTGCGGGTGTGTCGTATCGATTATATTAAATTCTGTATAACTTTATTCCGGGATAGGCCTCGTAGCGATATTATTGCTTCGCCTCTTGCGTGTATCTTTTTTGGCGTCAAAAGCATAGCTAATATCTTTATACTATTATTCATTTATTGGTTGTATTAAAAAGTCATTATCGTCGCACGAGCTGCAAGACATCTTCGAAATTAAATTGGCTTTTATTCACTTTCGACGTATTTTAATCGCGCGTTAAACCGATCTTGTATCGAACGGGCGAGAGCGGAAAGTCGACGGAAGAGCATATAAATTCGTGACGGGGGCCCCCGAAAAGTCGTCTAGGCCAGATGTCGAGCGTTCAAGATAAAAAATACCAAAGCGTATTCGAAGAGAGAAAAAAAGGAGAACCAAAGACGCGGGAGGGTGGCGAGGGAAAAAGGATCGGGCGGCGAGAGGCGGTGTGTGCATGCGCTTAATCGATAATCACCGGCAAGTGGTTTCGTCCGAAAAGGGTGCGGTGGATACATCTGCGAGGTATCATCAGCGCCGCGTACAAAAGGTCGATCCATCATCGGGCCGACAATCCAAATTCAAAATTGGCCCGGCCAGTTCCCAGCGACCGCGCGTGCAATTATAATGGAGATTAAAAACAATCCAAACAGCTTCCACACGTCCGAGTAAGTGCGGGACGGTTCGAAGACACGTCGCGTCGTCGCCGAGATGGAAGTCTGTGGTCTGTGTCCCCCGGCATAACGGTCCTCGTTATTTTACTCTTCTATTTATTTTTATTTACTTTATTTCGCGGTATCGTTAGGGGTGGGGGGGAGGGGGCATTGTGTAACGTGATTGTAGCGTGCCGCGGGAATGCGCCGTGTTGTAATCTCGCGCGTTATTGCTACACAGTGGCGCACGCGATTTTCTGCTTACGCGCCCGACTACTGAAATATCAATGTGAGGCTGTTCATTGAGCACGCGGTATGTCAGATTGTCCGGTCCTGATAGAAGAGTAGCCTTTGCGGTTTGAGCGTAATAATAGGTATAACGTCAACGCCGCGTTTTAACATCTTGTTAAGTTTTTGGATTAATAAGGTGGCTAAGAATCTCAGTGGCGCTTTTCTTCTCTCCCCCCCCCGCGCATTGTAATAACGAGCGATTTGGAAATTTTAATCGCGCTTTAATAATTCAATCGCGAGCAGCAGACACTAGTATGTTAAAAAGACTTTTGGGTATAGTCGGTTTCTTAAACGCTCGTATTATTACGTAATAGCGCATAAAATATACAATAGAAACCAGCCGGCTGCCGAGTTTCGTTCCCGGAAAGGCGAGGCAGATTGTAGATAATCGTGATGATAGAATGCCATTTAACATTGGCAGATTTTTTTTTTAAATCGTTATCTTCCGGTGCTGAGTTTCGCATAACGAAGCTTGAGAGTTTTGTCCTTAGTGCGCACTTTTCTCCAAGTTATGTTCGAATAACGTAAAGGAGATTAGGATCATTTCTTTTTTATTGTACGGAAGGAAACGAGATGTGCGAAAACTAAACGCGAAGATGCGGTGCAAAAGCGAGGTGAACGCCGAGCGAACGAGCAAGAGAGAAAGAGATAGAGATAGAGATAGGGAGAGAGAGAGGTGGGAAAGGATTACGGTGCGTCAACGGCGATGACTGAACGGGCCGTAATCGCTGTGCCGATCTAATATTTCGAATAGTTCGCATTTACAATGGGCTTTATTGGCGGGAAAACTGAGGGGGTATTTTGAGCAGGCGGGACATCCATCACGGGGTGTCAACGCGATTGTCTTCCGCGGCGTTTGCCACGGGAAAGTATTGACGTCGGGGGCTTGCGCGCAACCGCCGAAATACCGGTCG